TGGGGAATCCCTGGAGAGATTTGGGGGCGATTTGAGAGTTTTTGGGGTCTTGGGGGGATTTAAGGGGGGGTGAGGAAGTTTTAGGAGGATTTGGGGGGATTTTGGGGAGATTAAGGGGTTTTAGGGGGATTTTGGGGAATCCCTGGAGAGATTTTGGGGGGATTTGAAGGTTTTTGGGGAGGATTTTCGGGGGGTGAGGGTGTTTGGGGAGGATTTTGGGGGGATTTCAACACTCGGGGGGGGGGTCCCGGGACACGCGAGGGGAGAGTGGGGGAGGGGATTTGAGCTGGAATTCGGCCGTTTTTGGGGGGAGGGGTCCCCTGAATCGGGGATTTGGGGTCTCCCCTTTTTGGGGGGAGGGGAAATGGGGGGGTTCGGGGGTCTCCCCGTTTTTGGGAGGGGTGGGGGAGGGGCTGGGGGGGGATGGGGGTTGAGGGCGGGGCGGAGAGCGCGCGGCGCCGTGGCTTAGTTGGTTAAAGCGCCTGTCTAGTAAACAGGAGATCCTGGGTTCGAATCCCAGCGGTGCCTCAGCTTCTGTCGCGGCGATATCGCGACAGCGCCGTCCGATTTTATTTTCATTATTATTTTTCTAAGTTTTTTTAAAATTCATCACATCACCCGTTTTTCTTTTAAATCGAATAAATTCCTTACAAACGAAACGCTAATTATGGGGGAGAAAGAAAAGAGGGCCCGCGAGGCTTTGAAAAAACGGGGGAAAAGGGAAAAATAATAATAAAAGTAAAACAAATCAGGCGAGATTTTATTTCCCTGACCGGGAATCGAACCCGGGCCGCGGCGGTGAGAGCGCCGAATCCTAACCACTAGACCACCAGGGAGAGCCGCGAGCGCCACTGCGCCGGCGCCACCAGAGGACCAACGCTGCGTCCTGATTGGCTAGACAAGCTCCGAAAGGGTGTCAATCAAGCTGGAGAACCAATCAGAGCGCGTCTCGGGGGCGGTCGCGCCGCCGCCTCAGGTTTCCCGCCTCCCGCTCTGTGCCCTGTGGGGGAGAATTTCGGGGGTTTTGGGGTACAATTTGGGGGTTTCTTTGTAGGATTCACAGGTTTTGGAGGGAATTCGGGGATTTTTGAGTGAAATACGATGATTTTGGGGCAAAACTTGGGTATTTCGGGTGTTAATTCGAGGATTTTGAGCTGCGCGGCGTCGAACGCGAATGCTCCGAGCTGATTGGCTGGGCGGGTGAGGAGAGGGTGTCAATCACAGTGGAGAGCCAATCAGAACGCCGTTATGGGGTGGTCACGCCCCCCCGCCTCAGGTTTCCCGCCTCTCCCGTCCGGCAACGCGCGGAGGAAATTTGGGGATTTTTGGAATGAAATTCGGGGATTTTGGTGAAAATTTCGGTGTTTTAGGGGTGGAATCCTGGGGTTCGGGGGGGAAATTCGGGGATTTGTGTGCGAAAAACGGAGATTTTGGGCTGAAATCCGGGGACTCTGAGCCGCACTCTCCAACCACCGCGCCGCGCGCTGATTGGCTGCGCGTGATGAATGCAGCTGTCAATCAAAGTGGAGAACCAATCAGAACACACGGGCGATGCTTGGTAACGCCCCCATCCCGGCTTTCCCGCCCCCGGTGCTGAGGGGGAGAAAAGCGGGAATTTTGGGGTTAAAATTGGGAATTTTGGGGTTAAAATTGGGAATTTTGTGTGAAATTTGGGAATTTTGTGTGAAATTTGGGAATTTTGGGGTTAAATTTGGGAATTTTGGGGTTAAAATTGGGAATTTTGTGTGAAATTTGGGAATTTTG